ATCCCCGTTGTACCAGTTTTCATTACAGGGAGCCCCGTCGAGAAATTGGCAGGATCCTGGCGGCGAGGTGGACGGCGGCGGCGGCGAGGGCGGGCGCCGAGGCAATGGCGGCGACGAGGGCGGCGACGGTAGAGGCGCCGTCGCCGAGATGCCCAAGACTTCCCACTGCCAGTTCGCTGTCGGCACGCCCGCCAAGCCGGTGTCAGCCGTGTTCAGCGCCTGGCAGCCTGGCCCGTCGTGGACCCACGCTCCGTTGGGGTGGGAGCTACTCCCACTCCCGTCCGACCAGTAGACAGACAGAGTGTACTGCCGCTGTATGGAGGTGACGGTGTAGTCATCGCGGAACTCATACCGCGGCTTGCCGGTGTCACGGTAGTTGGACGTAGTCCTGGAGTACACGCCGGTGCCGGAGCCTTTGCAGGCCGTCGGGTTCACGCGCACGTAGATCTGCGTCGCATCAGGGCTGATCATGGCTGGTTCCGCAGGCGGGCGCCGAGGCGATGGCGGCGACGAGGGTGGCGAGGGCGACGGCATCGGCGGTGTCGGCAAGGTCGGCGGCGACAGCGGCAGCGGCAGCGGTGGCGACGGCGAGGCCGGCGGCGAGGCGGAGGGAGGCGGCGGCGGCAGCGGTGAGACACACGTCGCCGCGATGCACTTGGGTGCCCAGGCGTACCCCCAGTTGGTCGCATCGCCGCAGCAGTAGGCATCCTTCGACGCACGGTACACGAAGACCGAGCCGTCGCCGTTGGTGTTGCAGTTCGCGATCACCATCTCCGCAGCCCCGGCGTCGTAGGCTGCACAGCCAGCCTCGATGGCCCTTGGGCTCGAGAGGTTGTATCGAGTGTCGTGCAGCTGCACGCCCGAGTACGATTCCCATCCTGGGTACGGCACCGCCTCGAGGTAGCCGCATAGCGCCGCTGCGCCGTGGGCTCCACCGGGAATCAGCGGCGGCGGCGGCGGCAGCGGTGGCAACAGCAGAGAGGGCGCTGTTACCCCGCCCCCACACACGCAGCACTTGTCGTTGGCCGTGCCCTCGCCAATGTAATCAGTATTGCCATAGGCTTCACACCAGCCGTTGGCTGAGTAAGCGTCACACCCGTTAGTGCCGTCGAACCAAGTAGCTACAGATGCGCCCGGAAGATCCATGCATGGCGAAGACGGCGGCAACGGCGAGGCCGGCGGCGAGGCGGAGGGAGGCGGCGGCGGCAGCGGTGAGACACACGTCGCCGCGATGCACTTAGTAAGCGGCGGCGACGGCGGCGGCGAGGGCGACGGCGGCGAGGTCGACAGCAGGTGAGACGGCCCGAATTGCGCGGATCCCTTCAGCCACGCCTCCACCACGTTGGAGCCGTAGCCCAGCTCATGCGAGGCACGAGGCTCGTGTCCGTCGGCATCGCGCTGCACGCCCACACAGTCGGCGTGCGCGCTGCAGATTTGCATCGCCAGCGCTGCGCTTGGCACGTGGCATCGGTTGGCGCCGCGGCCGCGCCCGCCGTGCAGGTCACACTCGCTCCACCCGGCCACCGCATCGGAGTGCGCCGCGCCCAGCTGGCAGTTGCGCAGCTGGCGCACCTGGCCGCGCACCCACGTGCTGTCGGCGGCGCCGTCGCCATCGAGGTCGCAGCTGATGTGGTCGTACGCCGAGGTGTCCGGTGCGGGCAGCACGGAGGGTGGCGCCGTGGGGCTGCCCTCCTTCCAAAGGTTCGCCACCTGGCAACGCCACTCGTCCACAAACGGCTGCTCCGCCGCCGGCGCTACGCTCGGGTCCGCATGCCAAATGTCCCAGCTTGAGTGGTCCTGCGTCACGCGCTCGCAGCAGCGGCAGCCCCAGCCAGGCGCCTTGGGGGCGAACATGTACAGCGCGCATGAGGCCTCGGCCGCGGCCGGCGCGCACTCCGCCGCCGAGTCGAAGACGCCAAGGTACGTGCCCTGGTCCGCGCCCTCACACGACGCGCCCATGGCCTTCATTCCACCGGGGAGCTGGACGCGCGCGCTGCACAGGTCGGACATGACGAAGTTGTGGCTTGCTGCCGGCGGTGGCCTGACGCCGGCGGCGCACGCGGCTTGCGCGTCGGCAGCGGGCTTAGAGGTGACGACGAGCGTTGCGGCGCGGCTGCCCACGCTGCACACCAGCACGGTGAGCGACGCCCCGCCTGATGACGCGTCCAGCTCGACCCCATGCGACTCGCCGGCCGCCAGCAGCGCCTCGCCCGCAAACTCGTCGTGCAGAATCGACTGCACCAACACCTTGCCGTTGGCGCCGCCCACGACTTGGTTGCGAGACTCGAAGAGCTCCACGCCCGCCCGGTACGAGAGAAGCTTGCCGCCGCTCTTGGCGCGCACCGCCAGCGCGGTGAACTGACCGGCGTCGGGCAGGCGTGCCGCGTCCTGCAACGGCACCACCAGCTCGGTGCCGGCCCACACGAGCACGTGCTGCAGGTCGACGACGCCCATTATGAGCTGGTGCGCCGGCGTAAAGTGTGTGTACCCGCCGGCGGACATGGCGTCATCGTGCATGTAGCCGTCGCTGAACTGCGAGGCGGGGCTGGGCGTCGCGCCGTGGCCTCGGATGCCGAGCGAGTGGCCCAGCTCGTGCAGCCGCCCCGCGTGGTCGACGCTCGCGAAGCTGAAGCTGTTGCCGATCCGGATCACCGTGCGGCAAGAGCCCATCGCGGGCGGGTTGCCGTTGGCTCGCGCCCAGTTGGTATCGCCGCACACGTTCGAGTACGCACCCCATGGGCACCCCGCCATCCAGCCGTTGTCTGGCAACGCGTACTCGACGTGCTGGTACGCGCTCTTGCTCACGCCCAGCGCCTCCAGTGCGTCGTCTGCACGCGAGCGCGCCTCGGCCTCATTGCAGCTTGCACCACCGTCGAGGTCGGCACTGCTCACATCGAGGCTCACGGTAGCGATGCGTCCTTTGGCCTCGGGGAAGGTGATCTTGTTGTATGTCGACGCGGCGAAGACGGCGGCCAGCGACGTGAACGGCGTGTCACTCACTTGGCCGCGGCCGGTCCACGTCAGCTCGCGCACGTCCGCCTCGCTGAAGCCACGCCGCGCGAAGTAATCCTCGTCGAGGTCCGTCAGCAGCACGCGCACCTGCCATGGTTGCGAGAATGCCGAACATGGCAGCGCGCTGTGTGTGCAGGGCGCTGAGAGGGTGAGGGTTGGTGGGAAGGGAGAAAGAAGGCTATGAGTGGGTGTGTGGGAGGTCAAGAAGGACGGGGGTGTGGGTTGAGAGTGCGGCACAACGTGCGCACCACCAGAAGCCCGCGTTCATAATCAGGCCCAAGCGCGTTTGCCCCAGACGGCGGCACCATAGGCGGCGGCGGCGACGGCACGTTCGGGTCCACGCAGTAGGCATCCTTCGACGCACGGTACACGAAGACTGAGCCGTCGCCGTTGGTGTTGCAGTTCGCGATCACCATCTCCGCAGCCCCGGCGTCGTAGGCTGCACAGCCAGCCTCGATGGCCCTTGGGCTCGAGAGGTTGTATCGAGTGTCGTGCAGCTGCACGCCCGAGTACGATTCCCATCCTGGGTACGGCACCGCCTCGAGGTAGCCGCACAGCGCCGCTGCGCCGTGGGCTCCACCGGGAATCAGCGGCGGCGGCGGCGGCAGCGGTGGCGACGGCGAGGCCGGCGGCGGGGCGAAGGGAGGCGGCGAGGACGGAAACGAGGAGATGCCGAGAGGAGCGAGCAACATGGTGAGCATGCCGGTCCGCTGCTGTGAAACAGCCAGCAGCAAATTGCTCAACAGAATGGTGCTCACAGTGTCGAGGTGCTCAACAGCGTCGCGCTGCGCCGCCGCTTCAATCACGAGTCACGCTTTGGTTTACCTTTAACCCGAGGGTGAACTGCTGACAAGGTTTGCGATGAGAAGCGATCCGAACGTGGCATTCGGGTGATTAGATCACTTCCGCCGTAACGCAAGAGCACTGCGTTTTCTGTTTAGGAAGGCAGACGGCGCGCTTCGTTTGTTTGTTGGAGAGAGATTCTCTCTTTTGTTGGCCGCACAACACGTGCTACGTCAAGGCGCATCGCGGTTTCTACCACGACGCGATCTTTGTCAAGCGCAACAACTTCAACCTGCTGCTCCACGAGACGTTCGGCGGCGGCTTCTCGCCCACCGCCGTTCTCAAGCTGCGCCGCCTCGCGCGCAAAGTCGCGCGCGGCAGCGTTGACCGCACGGCCTACTCGCCCAAGTACTCGCTCTCTTTTATGTCCCACTATGCAGAGCGCATCTCTCTCTCTGTTGTGCGAGGCGTGAACCGCGCCATTCGCTCTTACCTGGCAACCCTGTCTGCACGTCTCGCGCGCGCGTGAACAGGGCCCTAGCCAGGGTTTCGAGCGGAGGGTGCCCCGGATTCGTCTATCCGTTGGGCCCCGGTACTTCATTAGAACTGATCATGATTCGCAGCTACCGTCCCTTTATGGTGGGCCTTTTGGCAGCGGTCAAACAACAAGCGCGCGTGAACAGGGCTCGAGGGACAGGGACTCGACCGGGTCGGTGCGGCGCAGCTTCGGCAGGTCGAGCTCGTGGCCGTCGATATTCAGCTTGCCCCGCCTTTGCCTACCAATCCAGCGATTGAGCAATCAGAGACAAGCAGCAAGACAGGTCTTATTGTGGGACTTGTCGTTGGTATTTTGTCGAGGGCAAGGCTGGGCGTCCTATGTTTGTGCTCCCCCCCGGACCCCTCACTCTCGGGCACTAACTATCCATCTGACCACTCATCGACGGGGCTTGGCGAGCGGCCGCGCTGCGGGGCAGGGCTGGTGAGAATGGGCTCTGGCCACTCGCCCGTGCGGTTGTAACCGCGCATCAGCCGAACGGAGGCCTCGACCGCCCCGCGGCAAGCTCTCGAGCATCTCGAGCAGCTCCCCCGCCGCCATCGCCGCCTCGAACTGCTCCCTCATGCCGAGCGCGCCGCAGACCTTGCGTACAGCCTCTTGCTGCAAGACGGAAAATTTCTTTTCTCGCAGTGACGCTTATCTTTGTTTACTGCTGCTCCGGCGCCACTTCGCCGACCGCGCTGTCTTGCCGGCGCGCACCACGCCCAGCCGCAGCCCGTACTAGCCCTCCGCGACACGCACAGCGCTGCGGCGCCGACTCGCGCTCGGCTCCCGCCTTTGCCGCGCTCGCAGCAGCCGCCTCAGCGGCGCGAGCGCCGCCGACACGCAGAAAGCCCAGACACACGGCTTTTGCCAGCTCCGCCGCGCGCCATTCTCGTCGGACCCCACAGCGCAAAGTCCGCGCTGACGCGCCACACGCGGCGTCACGCGCGCGGGAATGTCGGCGCGCGCCGCGGCGCGCGAGCCGATTCTGCGCAGACACAGCGCCTCTGCCCCTTGCAGGCGGAAATGCCCAAGGTCGGAAGCATCCCGCGCTCCGCCACGGTGGCGTGGTCGTCCTCCAACGAGCACTCTGGCTTGCTGGCGGCGGGCACCGTCGCGGGCGCCATATCGGACACGTTTGACTCCACTTCGCACCTCGATGTGCGTGACGCCTGCAGCGCCGGTCTCAGCGCTGCGACTCCGCTCGACGCCCGCACGCACACCTCCTCCCCTCCCACATCCGGCAGGTCTTCTCGCTCGACCTGCAGGGCGGCGCCGAGCTGCCGCTGGTCGGCTCGCTCGCGTGCAACGACCGCTTCAGCCGGCTGACGTGGGGCACCAAGGGCGTGGCGGACGGCTCGCTGCCGTACGGGCTGCTGGCGGCCGGCACGGCCAACGGCAGCGTGCAGATCGTCGACCCCGGCCGGCTCATCAGCCGCCACGACGCCCCCGTGGTTGCGACGATCGACTCCCACTCGGGGCCCGTGCGCGGGCTCGAGTTCAACCCGGCCGTGCCGGAGCTGCTCGCCTCGGGCGCGGCCGAGTCGGAGGTCTTCATCACCGACCTGACGAATCCGTCGACGCCGCGCGTCGTCTCGCCGGGCGCAAAGTCGCCCGGCCCCGGCGCCGACATCTCTTGCGTCGCGTGGAACCGCAGGGTGACGCACATCCTCGCGTCGACGTCGCACAACGGCCTCTCCGTCGTGTGGGACCTCAAGCTCAAGAAGCCGGTCATCAACTTCACCAACTCGGCGAACCGCGGGCAGCGCAACTCAGTCATCGCATGGAACCCCGAGGTGGCGACGCAGATCATCGTCGCCTCCGAGGACGACGCCTTTCCGAGCATGCAGATCTGGGACTTGCGCAACGCGTTTGCGCCCGTCAAGGAGCTCACCGGCCACTCCAAGGGCATCCTCACCGCGTCGTGGTGCCCGCAGGACGAGAACTTGCTCATCTCGTCGGGCAAAGACAACCGCACGCTCTGCTGGGACCCGGCGACGGGCGAGGTGCTCTGCGAGCTGCCTCCCTCGGCCAATTGGACGTTTGACGTGCAGTGGTCGCCTTGCCTGCCGGCCCTCCTCTCGTCCGCCTCATTCTCGGGCGAGGTGGCGGTGCACTCGCTGGCGGACGCTTCCGCCACGGCCGGCGCCGAGGAGACGGGCGCCGACGGCTTCTCCGTGCAGGAGCCCCACGCGGGCAAGCCCATGATTCGCGCGCCAAAGTGGCTGCGCCGGCCGTGCGGCGCGTCCTTTGGCTTTGGCGGCAAGCTGGTGCGCTTCAGTCACAAGTCGAGCGAGGTGACGATCGAGGACGTGCCCAGCGACACCGGCGTGGTTGCGCGGGCCGAGCAGCTGCGCGCCGCGCTCGAGGCCGGCGATTTGGCCGGCTTCTGCGCCCACAAGGCCGAGGCGGCGCCGAGCGAGCGCGACGCGGACGACTGGAAGCTGATGGAGGTGCTCTGCTCACACGACCAGCGGACGCTCGTGCTCGGCTTCCTCGGGCTCGTCGACCCGAACGCGCCGCCGCCGGCCGAGCCGCAGGCCGAGGCGGCCTACGAGCCCCAGTACGAGCCGCAGTACGAGGCGCAGCCCGAGCCGGTCACGCCGGCGACGCCGGAGCCGCAGCCGCCGCTGCAGGAGAGCGGATGTCCTAGACCCGGCCTCCACAGACTCGTCCTAGACATTCCCTGGGATGCAGTGGCTGTGCCAGGAGGGGCACGAAGAGAGGCCCCAGACCTCTCTACAGACGACGCCGGGAGCCTCCCCGGAGCCTTCCCTGAGCCTCCCCGGAGCCTTCCTGCAGGACGTCAACCCCGAGGAGCTCTTCTCGCAGATGGCAATCGCGACGGAGCGGCAGATGTCGCAGGCGTCGGAGCTGGACGCCATGGGGGCGGCCGCGACCCCCCCCGCGCCCGACGACGGCGCGTCGCCCATGCCGCCCGAGCCTGCCGCCGAGCCGCCCGCGCGGGCCGGGCCGCTCGAGACTGCGCCCGCGCCCGACGACCCGGACGTGTCGCTCGCGATGCTGAACGGCAACTTTGCCACGGCGGTCGAGGTGTGCCTCGCGCAGGGCCGCGTCGCCGACGCGCTCATCCTGGCCGCGTCCGGTGGTGAGGAGCTCTGGGCGGCGACGCGCGACCAGTACCTCGCCTCGAACAAGTCGGCGTTCATGAGCCGGCTGTCGGCCGTCGTGCACCAAGACTTTGACCGGTACGTCGCTGAGTCGTCGCTGCCCGCGTGGAAGGAGACGCTCGCGCTCATCCACACCTACGCCTCGGCCGAGGCGCTGCAGGGCCTGTGCAACTTGCTCGGCGAGCGGCTCGAGGCTGAGGCAGGCGACGCGTCGGCGGCGGTGCTCTGCTACATGTGCGCCGCAAACACGGTCAAGGCGGTCGAGCTGTGGCACGCGCGCTACAGCGAGCAGAGCGCGGGGGCGGCGGGCGGCGGCGGGGGCGGCGGGGCGGAGGCGGGCTCGCTGCTCGAGCTGCTCGAGAAGGCGGTCGTGCTGCAGGAGGCGACGCAGATCAAGGACGGCTACCCGCTCATCGCCGAGCAGCTGACGGCGTTTGCAGGCTCCCGAGACGCTCCCGAGACGCCTCCGAGACGCCTCCGAGACGCCTCCGAGACGCCTCCGAGACACTCCGAGGCGCTACTGAGACATCACTGCACGCCCACACCCGCCGCGCGCGTTAGCCCACGACAACTCGGACGCGTCTTCCACACATTCACCGCCGCCCTCGCCGCCCTCGCCGCCGCCCTCGCCGCCGCCCTCACCGCCGCCCTCGCCGCCCTCGCCGCCGCCCTCGCCGCCGCCCTCGCCGCCGCTCCCCTCACCGCCGCGTCCCTCTGCCCGCACAGAGCTGCTCGCGGCGCAGGGGTGCCTACATGAGGCGATGGGCTACTTGGTGCAGCTGCCGCCGGCGGAGACCGTCGACGACCCGGCCGCACTGCTCATGCACCGCATCCACGGCGCCAACCCAAACCTGCTCATGGCGCCGCCGCCGGTGCCGTACGACGTGGTGCACGTGCCGGAGAGCTCGGCTGCGCAGGCGGGCTACCAGCCGCAGGCGGGCTACCAGCCGCAGGCGGGCTACACGCAGGGCTACGAGCAGACGCAGGGCTACGAGCAGACGCAGGGCTACGAGCAGACGCAGGGCTACGAGCAGACGCCGGGCTACGACGCCTACGCGCAGCAGCAGCCCTACGAGGCGGCGAACGGCAACGGCTACCACAACGGCGGCGGCTACAGCACCGACCCCTACGAGCACGTGCAGCAGCAGCAGCAGGCTTACGGCAGCTACCCCGCCGGCGGCCAATATGGCGCATATGACCAGGGCGCGGCGCCAAACAACGGCTACAGCAGCCGCGCCGCGCCCATGTCCACCTACGAGCCCGCGCCCGCCGCGCCGCCCGCCGCGCCCTACGCGTATCAGGCGCCTCCGGCGCCCGCAGCGCCGGCCCCGGCGCCCGCTGCGCCGCCCGCGGCCGGCTACTCGACGGGCTACTCGAGCTCCGCGCCGCCGCCGCCGCAGCCGCCGCCCGCCGCGTATCAGTACCAGGCGCCGGCGCAGCCGTCGTACGAAGTGCCGCCGCAAGCCAGCTATGCGCAGCCGGAGCCGCCGCCGCCCGCGGCCGCGCCGCCGCCCGCGCCGCCGCCCGCGCCGCCGCCGCCGACGTACGACCCGTCGGGGGTGATTGGCACCATCCAGGGCCTCATGGCGCAGTGCGGCGCCTACCAGCTGCAGCCGGTGGACAAGCGGCGGCTGGAGGACACCGAGAAGCGCTCCGGGGCGCTCTTCACCAAGCTGCAGGTGCAACCCCCCCCCCGGACGCCCCCCCCCCCCCCCCCCCCCAAAACACACGCTGCTCAACCACGCGCGCACTGGGCCTTGCGCTTTGAATGCCGTGCTGCTCTGGACGAGTCGCGAGGGGTCGCTTAGCCCTTGCCCCACCACCTCGTGTGCGTGGAGAAGCCGACCCCACCTTACCTCACCCCACCCCACCTTACCTCACCCCACCTGCCTTACCTGCAGGCCGGAGGCGTGTCGCAGCCTGTGTTTGACAAGCTCGAGCAGCTGTGCGGCGCGCTGGCGGCGGGCGACGCGCGCACCGCGCTCGAGGCGGCCGCCGCCCGAGCCCTCGCGCGTCGCGCCGCCCGCAACGCTCACTTGCAGTGTCGCGCCTATGGTCGCAGGTGCACGTCCACCTGACGACGACTGATTGGGCCGACAACGGCCACTGGCTCATGGGGCTCAAGCGGCTCATCGAGCTCGTCGGCAAGCTGGGCGTCGCCCTGCAGTAGCCACGCGCGGGCGTGTGTGGGACGGTTTCGCGGCGGGAGGCCGGTGTGATGACGACCAGACGAGCTCGGGGAGGATTGCGCGACTCAGATTTTTCGGTCTCGCCTGTCGGTTGGGAGGTGCGTGCGCGCGCGCCGCGCGGCTGTGCACGTGCGCAGGGGGGATGCTGCGCGCGCGGCTGTCGTAGGATGAGATCCCCGCGCTTGTGTAGAGCTATACTCTCGCTTCACGGGGAAAGGTCGTTCGACACTCGGCTCACTCCTCGCTAAAGCCGTACGGGAACCGCGGCGCGATTCGGGGGTTGACACGCCCAAGTCTCGCATCCCCCCCCGCGGGGTCCAATTACGCTCGCAGCCACCTGCGACCTGGGCACCGCACACTCCTGGCGTGCGCCCAGCACGCTGGCTACCGCTGCGCGCGCCGCTCCTGGTACCGCGCGGTGAAGAACCCGCAGTGGTACCACGCCATGATCAAGTTGGCGAGATCGTCGCTCTCGTCCGCCGCCGCCGCCGCGCCGCCGCCACTCGCGTATGCGGCGCCGGTAGGCGGCGGCGAGGGCCAGCTGGACGCCGCCGCGCCGCCGCCGGCTCCCTGCCACTGTGGCGGCGCGGGCGGCGGTGCGTGCGCGGGCCACGGCCCTCCGGCTGCGCCGTGCGGGTGCGCGGTCTCCGAGGGGGCGGCGCCCTGGGTGGCAGGAGCGCAGCTGGTCGCACCCCACGCCGCCGCCGGTGGCGGCGGCGGCTGCTGCTGCTGCTGCCACTGCTGCTGCTGCCACTGCTGCCACTGCTGCCACTGCTGCTGCTGCTGCTGCTGCTGCTGCTGCTGCTGCTGCTGCTGCTGCTGCTGCTGCTGCTGCTGCTGCTGCTGCTGGTATGCGTACCAGCTCGCCCACGCCGCCTCACTCCCGCCCTCACCGCTGCCCGCGCCACGCTCGCCGCCCTGCGCGCAGCTGCCACCACCGCGCCACGCCGCGGCCGCTGGGGCCTCCTGGCCGCCACGCGCAGCCCCCGTGAGCTCCTCTTCGCCCCCGCCCTCCTCCTCGCCCTCGCCCTCCTCCTCCTCCTCGCCACGCCGGCCTGCGTGCTGCCGCTCTGCGAGCTCCATCGCCGCAATCGCCTCCGCCTCCGCTTGAAACTCCGCCTCGGCCTCGGCCTCAGCGCGCGCGAGCGCCTCCGCCCGCCCGCCGTCGTCGCACGCCGCAACCCTGGCTGCGCCGCGCCGCCGCCCTGCGCTCGAGGTCGCTGGGGTTGCCTATGGGCGCGGTGAGCTCCCGTCTCCGCAGGGCCGGTGCGCGCATGATGGGCGGCGGCTGGCCTTGTAGCTGGCGATGGCGCGGTCGTAGGCTCGGATGAGCTCCGTGTCGTCCCACGCGTCCTTCGCTGAGAGGTCGATCTGCATGGCGTGGAAGATCGCCAACACCGCCTGATATGCCGCTGCGTCCACAGTGCGATGCGTGCTGCCGCGAGTACCCGCCTTCACAGCCTTGTTATTGAGAAGAAAATACCTGCTATGGCGCTGTGCGCTGGCCTGTGAGAGGTTGAGGTGCGAGCCCTGGAGGCCCTTCACAGCCTTTGCGGATCCCGTCGTCGCAACCGCCGCCGCCGCTGTTCCACCCTGATGCAAGTTGGTGTGGCAGTGGCACCGAGTGGAGTGTACCCGTTTTTACTCGCTTACCCACCCACCCACGCCCGCGCGGTTCTTGAGCACTTGAGCACTGGATAGGGTCGGTTCCGCATGCATGGTACGGGACCCCTCGATCGTCTCGCCCACCCTCACTGGTGTGTTCATTGGGGGGGGTCATAACAAACACGGTACAGGATTGAGGTGCACGCTGCAGAAGCAGTGTCGTCCCCCCTCTCCCCGACGGCGATGGCGGTGTGACCGATCGAGCTACAAGAGGAGCTTGTTCAGCATCTTCCGCGCTGCACCCGCTCTTGGCACGGCCGTCGTCCGCCGAGATCACCTCCTCTTCGCGCCGCAGGTGCACAACCAAGGGCTGGCCACCTCCGTATCCATCATGATGAAGCCAATGGGCCAAAATCGGACTCCGCTCCCCGCCCAGGTGGCCGGAGGGTACACCTCGGGTCGGCGTGCTGGGGGGGGCGCCGGTGCGCAAGCCCACTTTCCGGGCGACCCCGAGGGGGAGGAGGCCGGGCGAGTGGCAGCAATTCACTGTTAGTGTCCCGGGCCGCTGCGGTACCGTTTATACGGCCCCTCGTGACGTCTTTCCGATTTTGCATTGTGAGTCGTCCTCTGGCCAGCCGAGGGGCACCAGAACGGCATGTGTACTGCTGCTGGCTGATGGCGCGGAATGGGCTTTTTTTAACTCGCAACCAAGTATACTATACAAGGACACCCTCGGAGGGGACACTCGGCGCATGTGCGACACGTCAGTGTGGAGTTGGCGGTGGCCGAGCGTCGTCTCCAGATCAACTCGCAGCGCGGAGTCGAGGGGTGAAGCGCGTCGCGCTGCGACACTCGAGAGCCGGCTGGATGGCCGTAGGGCGCAGCCGACTTTGATGTCCTCGAAGGTCCGGTGCGCATTCGTCCTCTGAGACCCACGCGTACAGGAAAGGGGCGAGAACGAGGCCTTTTGAGGCGGACATTTTGGGGCGCGCATCCGCAAGCGCGTTCCACACAGTGACAAGAGAACGAAAAGAGAGGGGGTGCGCGAGGAAACATGTGTTCCGAGCCTCACCCGCCCGCCACTACGAATTCATGCCCTAGATGAAGGAGGGGGTCCCACAACCACTACACAGCAGGCCGGAGCGCAGGATTGTCACACGATCTGACTCTCTCGGTCTCTGGCTCACAAAGGCGCACAGATGGTCACGGGCCGGCTGTGCCTCAACCGCTCATGCGCAGCGAAACGCCCCACGGGCGGCGTGGCGCCGCTCGCATAGGCCTCGTCGTCGCCGTTGCCGCCGCCGCCGTGCGCGCCGAGGTCGTCGGCGAGGGCGGGCCACTCCACCTCGCCCAACGCGTCCAGCATGGCGCGCAGATTGGCGTGTCGCGCACTGCCGGGCTCGCGCGAAGGCTGTGGAAGGCAGGGGAAGGGAAGGCTGTGGAAGGCAGGGGAAGGGAAGGGAAGGAAGGCAGGGGGAGGCAGGGGGAGGTCGCCAGCTTGGCCGTGCCTTGAGCGAGCGAGAGGTCGACGTTGGTCTGGTCGAGGTAGTTTGCCGAGACGGCGCAGGTGGCGGCGAGGTTGGTCACCTCGTGGGGCGTGTTGTGCGGGATGTAGAGCACCTCGCCGGCGCGCAGCTCAAACTCGAGCCGCCGCGCCTGCCGCAGCGACGCGGCGCTCTGCGCGTCGCTCTCGAGCTGCGCGAGCGGTGCGAAGCGATGGATCTGCTCGGGCGCGTCCCAAGTGGGCGAGAGGAGCAGCGCGTCGTCCGGGTGGAAGGTGATCCACCGCTTGGCGCCCTCGCCGAGGTACATCCAAAAGTTGGAGCACATCTGGTCGACGTGCAGAGCAGAGGTGGTGCCGGCGCCGCCGACAAAGAGCGAGGGCGTGTCATGCATGATCGAGAGCCGGCGCCGCGTGCGGTGCGCAAAGTCGTGCAGAAAGTAGGCGGGCACCGCCACCTCGTCAAACAGCCACGGGAAGTGAATGGCCAGAGGCACGTCCGCGAGGTAAAGAGCTTCGCCGGCGTCGAGGCGGCCGAAGAAGGAGGCCGCGCTCATCGTGCCGTGGCCCCGCACGGGCACCGCCATGTCCGCCGGAAGCAGGGCGCGCAGCCGCTCGAGGGAGAGGCCTCTGGGCGCCAGGTGCGGGCCGAGGCCTGTAATGATGAGCGG